AATATTTTTAAAAAGTTCCAAAATTCCAGGTGGATAAAGACCTCAACATAAAATAATCAAAGTCTAAAAACATGTGGAATACCTTCACGAATGGGGCAGTCCTTGATTCACAAGGTTTAACAAGCAAAAACAATACAGACCAGAATTAATGACTTTGCGTCACCATCAAAAATTTCCCCACAACAAAAAACATAATAGTCAAAATACAAGTGGCAGGTGGAGAGACAATTAATAAAATATAAAAGAGATAAAGAAATAGAGCCCAAGATCTATAAAGAATTTTTAGAACAGCATAAAACAGAAAAAAATGGGTAAAGGATACAAAGAAGCACACCACTTCACAAAGACAGTAATGTCCTGAAAACATGAATATCTGCTCATTTCCACCGTTGTTCAGGCAATTACAAACTGCAATTTTAAAAACACAAAACGTGTAAATTTCATGAGTAAAAGTAAACCAATGTGTGCTGATGTAAAGCTTGAACAGGCATGCAAAAAGGGAGTTGGGAGCATGCAGTGGTCAGCCCACTTGATGAGCTGGTTTGGTAGAAGCCATCGAAACATAAAATGGGCATGTCCTTCTACCCAGTGACTGTATTGGTAGGCATGTCAGGCTCAGGAAGCATGAGTCCTGAATGGACATTGGTCTACACCAAGGAGACGATCTTAGAGGCCACCAAGGAGAAGAAAGACCAATGGTGAAGGAATTAGAAGTATCATTATGGACCCCTTGATAGCAAAACAAAAACCCGCAGGTAATGGGAGGTTACTTTCAAAGGGCTGAAAGAAAAAAACTGTCATATACTTTATTGTTCAAGAGTGAAGGTAAGTTAAGACAGCTTCAGCAAAGCAAAAACAGAGTTTACGTCTGAGGACACTAACCAAAAGAATTAGAGTTGTTCTTCATGAAGAACCCAGAAGAAAGGAATGGAAAGAAAAAGTAATGATGAATATATACTTAAATCCTGCACTTGGCCATATAAAATGCAGCAACAAAGACTCAGGGTAACAGTGGGATGGACTAAAACACCAGGTAGGTGTTTTAGGTGGGAAAGGGGTAACAAACTTAAGTGTCCTGACGTCCTTATATTGTTCACGATTCACATGAGACCTGATCAAGTCAGGAATAAAATAAATGTCGTGTAAAACTTCCAAGCTCACAGAGCAGTGGTTTTCAACAAGGGACAGTTTTACCCCCAAAAGACACTGGGATTTTTGGAGACATTTTTGGTTGTCATCCCTGAGGGTGGAGGAGGGGGGTGAGGTACCATTGGTATCTAGGAGGTGGAGGACAAGGATGCTGCTGTGAGGTGTAATAAAAAAATATGGTGA